CTTTTGGCTTCAAGGACTTCAAATTCCTCAACTACAGTTTCTAACAGTTCAATATCAGTCAATGAACACTCTCCTTCAATCACATGCACTACACTGGATATATCATTGCACTCAGCTAGCTTTCCTTTTAGATCAGAATTAAAGAGACAAATGAGAGACTTTAGGTCAATCAGAGGTGGAGATTTCTGTGTAATAGCTTTGGACACTTTAAATATCATTCTAGCAAGTGAAGCTCTTATTGAACTGAATTCTCTTGATTTACTCTTTCGAACAGGAATTTCAACTAAGGATTAATCATAATAATAATCATTTTAATCATCAATGAGGTACCTGTTGGTGCAGTTGGTGTGTGAGGTGATGATGGTGTGACTGTTCCAGTGCTTGAATCTAAAAAGAATAAATTAAAAATAATAAAATTAAAATATTATTATATTTACCTTCTTCCATTTCAATATTAACAAATTCATCAGTAGAAAATTGTGTATCTAAAATTAAAACTGAGATGAACTAACAAAAATTCTATACTTTAACTCACCATAGTCTCTTTGTATAACTGTTCCCAGTTTTACATTACCAGTGAACTTGCACAACACACTAGCAAATGTTTGTAGTGAACTATACTTGCTTTCAATAGCTACTATAATGGCAGCTAACAGGACTTCACGTTGATTAGGAACAGAGGGACTAGCTGATTCCACACTAGCCAATACTTGTCCTCTTATGACACTCTCTCTTTGAAGCATAATAGCTACACTGACAGGATCAGAGAGAGACTGAGAGAGGAGTGGATGATGAGTGTTGAATATATCAATAGCCTTAGCTTTACATTCTATAGAATACACACACAGTCAATACTAATACAATCAGTGATATTAATTTGTGACCATAATTGACAAAAGGTACCTTATGGCGGGTAGTGAAATTTGTCTTTTTAGCCTAAGAAATCCAACTTCCTGAGCCCCATTTATCATAAAATTACTCCACAGGATGCAAAAAGTTACCATGAAACTTTTATAAACAATGATTGTCTAACAAAGCACTCACAGGTTGATATTTTCCATTATAACAATCAATTTTAAAATCCGCCATAAGGGCCCTTTTGTCAATTATGGTCACATTTACTCTCTTGATCTAACTTGTCAGCTGCACCATTCTCATTCATAGATTTAAGAGCATCTGACAGTGAG